CAGAAGGGCCGTACTTGTGTCGGCTCAAGCTCTCAATCACCAGATGCAACACATCTGGTGGGAAGGTCTGAAGGATTCCATTGTGGTAGGCATCCACTACTACACTGCCTCGCTGGCGGCGGTCTGCCCCGCCTGCCCCGAGGCCCACTTCCCCAGCCTTACAGCCTGCCCGCCATTGAGCTGTGGGGACTGCCGTTGCCCCGAGGGGTCGTCTATCCCTCACGTGGCCGCCACCGGGGCCCTCATCGCCGTGGGCTTCCTGACCTTCGGCTTGGCGGTGGGCAGTCTCATCGGGTTCCTCGCAGGCCGGCTTCTGCCGGCTCTGGCTTGCCCGCTGCGCTCTGCAGGCGCGGGCGCGCAGGGGCCGGCGCCACCGGCTCGCGAGCCGACGGGCGTGGCGGCGGCGCTGCCGGACGTGCCGCACCTGCCGACCTCCGTGGTGGGGGAGGACTTCGCTGCTGAGGCGCGGGCCCAGGCCGCCGCCGTGCGCGAGAGGCGCGCGGCCGTGGCCCTTCGCGGCTAAGCATGGCGGCGCCTGGCGCCGGCCCCCTCCTGGTCCCTCCTGGGGCGGCCGCCGCCCCCCCAGGGCCTGGCGTGGCGGCTCCCGCTGCACAGCCGGAGCTGGCCCATGCGCTCACGGCGGCTGGCGTCTCCGAGGGCGACTTCATCGCGGTGAAGTACAACGTCTCGGGTGCTGCTCTGTGGCACGAGAGGTGCGTCCTGCTGGTCTCCAGCCAACCACCGCACTCGTTCACGGGGTTCACCCCCGACGGCGACTGCTACGAAGATGACCTGATGCCCGGGGGGGACATCTCGGCCTGGACCCCGCTCGAGGGTCGCGCTGCGGGCGGTGGTCTGCCGGCTCATCTGGCGGGACAACGAGTACACGGGTTTCGTGCTTTTCCTTTCCTGCACACCTTCGTGGCTGCACGGGCGGCGGCCGCTGCCCGTCTGAATGTTCTGCCTGCTGTCCACTTCGCTGTGGATGTCGGCCGTGCCGCGGCCGGAGGCCCGGCCGCGGCGCCCGCCGCGCTGGCCCCAGCAGGTCCCGCGGCAGCAGGGCCACCAGGTGGCTTGGCGCCGGGCGCTGCCCCCGGAGTGCCTGGGGGGGCGTTGGTGCCTCCCGCCCCGGCCCCGGGTGGCGGCGGCCCGGCGCCAGGCGGCCTGGCGGGTCTTGCGGCCGCGTTGGCCCCGGCGGGGCCTGGCCTGGCGCCCCCCGGCGCTCTGGCACCCGGGGCCGTGGCGGCCCCGGGGGCGGGGGCCCCTGTGGGGCCCGCGGCCGGGGGTGGGGACCCTGGGGCCCCTGGCGCTCTAGCGGCGGGAGCTCCGCCGGTGCCCCCGCCGGCGGCCCCGCTGCTAGACGCCAGGGTCCTGCCGATCATGCGGGATCAGCTGGGGCAGCGGCATTGTGTCTTCAGAGATGCGGTGCTTCAGATGCGAGAGGACCCATGGCCCGACTGGCCTCTCTCGGGCCCTCGCACCGCTCTCTGTGGTGCTGCCGTTTTATTTCGGAGAACAGCATGACTCCTTCGGGACGCCACGTCCGCTGGCGTCAGGAAGCTGGTCTCGCCGACAAAGACTTCGGGGTTGAGGAACATGAAAAATGCTGCAGGTCCCTGGAGCTCGCTGCCGTGTATGACCAAGTCAATGTGCCCAATCGCGCGAGCCTCGAGATAGTGTGCAGAGACGTCCAGATTCAGGAGGAACGGTATATATATATAGAGAGAGAGAGAGAGAGAGAGAGAGAGAGAGAGAGAGAGAGAGTCGCCAACCCCGATCAGGCCGGCATCGATCGCCACCTTTTCATGGGGACTGGCAAGGTTCGTGGGAACCTTTGCATCTGCCCTGACCTCCAGAGTTGGGTCACAGCTGAGCTGGCCCGCGAATATGCAATTGCCAAGGAACGTCGCAAAGCCCGTGAAGAAAGGGCCCTGGCTAGCGGGACCTCCAGTGCTGAGGCGAGCGGCAAGCCAGGGCCCAAGAAGAAATGAGAGCTGCGGGGGAGGAGAGCTTCAGGCCCCTCTCCTCCTCCTGCGCACAGGGCCCGTCTTCGCCATCCCGCGGACCGTGTAGTCCCTCGTCCAGGCGGGTGCAGCGAGACCTTTTTCCTCTGCCTCTCCCCCAGACCCAGCAATGTGTCGTCGGTGTGGCCAGGCCTAGCCGGAGGATGTGGAGGCGCCGTCGGTGTCTGGAGCATGCTGATGCATGGGCCGCGGATGGAGTCGCGGTTTTGAACGATCTCTATGGTGCTCGTGCCCAGCCCACCTCCCCGAATGCGGGTCAGGAGCGGGTACTGCGCCACATCCAGGAGTCTCACCGGGGCCTTGATCGCCCCCCGGGAGGCCCCGATTTTGCACAGAGAGCCTTCAGCGAGCTCCTGTCCGGGACCACGATTTATGCTTCTGATTCGGGTCCCGTGGTCCTTATTCTTTTGAGCGCGTTTCCTGGCCCTCGCGGGACTGTAGACCGGTTCCTGTCCTGGATCTGTTGTCCTCGGCCGACGCGTCTGTGTTTAAGGAATGGCGAGAGAACCTGCTTAGGCCCCCGGCTGAGGCGGAGGCCCTGCGCCGCGAGGCATGC